AAGATTCTTATATAGTCAAAAAGAGAAATTATAGAAAAGTATCAAAGATAATGAGCCTTCTAAGAGAGAGTAATAGAGAAACATAAAGAGAGAGAAGCTCTTAAGCGATATGGTTATGAGAGAGAGAGAGAGGCTTCTAAATAAGAGAGAGAGTTTTTGGGAAAGTGAGGCTTATAAAAGATAGAAAAGTTTTTTAAAATAGAGACACCTCTAAAAGAGAAATCTAATTTTGTAAGGGAGAGAGAGAGAGAGAGAGAGGCTTCTAAAATACAAATAAGATTCTAATGGAAAAGAGAAAGTAGCTTCTAAGAGAAAAGTTTTGAAGTGAGAGAAAGAGCCTTTAAGGACAAAAGCTTCGTAGGAAGAATAAAATGATTCTAAGGGTAAGATAGACGGGCTTTTATGAGAGAGGCTTTTAATTCAAAAAGATAAGCTTCTAAGAAAGTGGCTTCGAAGGGGAGATAATGGGAGAAATAAGAAGCTTTAAGAGGGAGTGATTATTATGAGAGAATTTTAAGAGCCATAAAAAAAGAGAAAGGTTTCTTAGAGAGAGAGATTTTTAAGACAATCAAATGTTCCTAAGAGAGGGAGGCCTCAAATAGAGACAGAGGCTTCTAAAGATAGGTTTCCAAGGAAGAGAAAGAAACGCATCAATGAGATAGAGAAAGAGGATTATTTCCATGTGCAATGCATTTATCCAAGTCTGGGGGAGTTGTATGCAGTACTTTCAAACAATTATAGAAAAGCCCCCCAAATAATAGAATTGCCCACAAGAAAAATGAATGGTTTATATCATACAATAAAGGTGGAGAACAACATTCATTTTCATTTACTATAAACCTACTAACTATGAATAATAAATGGAATAGCAGAGTTGATGGTTTATAAAATATATGAAAAAAATGAACAAAAATTTATAGAATAAAAACTAAAAAGACAAAAATCTCAAGTGAAAGTGTAGACTTAAATGTGAAGCAGCAATGATAAAATCATTACCCAATATTATTCCATAATTTAAGAATAGATAATATGAGAAACTAATATTAGAACAAAAGGGTAAGCAATCCCATGTGCGCATGAGCAATCATGTCCAAAGAAACATGTAAAAATGATAACATTGAACAATTCACTTAGGAAAATAAAGAAAATAGATTATTGGGATCTCTATAATGAAATATGCATTTATTCAATGATGGATAAAATATGAAGATATATAAAGCAAGTTAATAAAACGGAAAAAAATACACCATTTTTATGATCAAATACGACAAAGAGAATATCATATTATCTCAAAAGATAATAAAGACATTCTACAAAGGTATTTAAAAATAAAAAATGAATTATGGAAAGACTATATACATTCTCAGAGAACTTTCTCCTACCTTACGAGAATAATATATGATTTATTTTTTTCTGGAGTTACTGGTTCCCCGTTCCCCATAAAGGTAGGTTAATTACATCCCAAGATAGGTGAATCTCTCGAGAACACTCTCGACTAAAGCAATGAAAAATTTTTTTAGGATTTTAAAATTTAAAACAATGATAAAAAGTATGGATTTTTTTTAATGGAATGCCTCAAGGTTGAGCATATTTTTCTAGTTGGGATTTAATGTTTTAGAATGAGACTTATTTTTGTTAAAGTTATTATTTTATTAGAAAGCTGAAGCTTATATTTTTTATTACTAAATCAAACAAATGTCCAGGACATGAGGACTTATAATATTGGAATTAATCACAAACCTAGAGCTAAAGCGAGTCACTCCAAGATAGTGGCTCGAACCTTATCTAATGAAATGCAATGGGACTTGTATCTCTTACCATGCTAAGGATTTAAGAAAGTTCGACTCTTATGAACTTATGATCCTGCCTAGATAGAACTATCAGCTAAAATTTACCTAACATTTTAAAACCATAATGTTCAATCTCCATGAAATGCAAATTAAGGTAGGCTATTTTTTAATTAAAAATTTGGGGCATATAACTAAGAAGTCCTAAATGGCCTCAGACTATGAATGGTAGATCATTCTTCTAAAACGGATGCAATTATCATTTTTTTGGTAGGTTATTAATACAATGCATGCTAGTTATATATAAAAATTTGTATGATATGAAATTAAAAAAAGGCTTAAAATAGCTTTATTCTATGGAGTAGGCCTCTCATGAGATAGAACTGTAGCCTGATAAGTCAGATGGTCTAATCAAAACCCGGAGATGGAGAATTGCCTAAATAAGGAATGGAAGCAAAATATGTTATAGACTTGGCCGAACATCATTTACATCCTTCTAAATACTAATCTTTCAATGTTATTTAAAGATTTTTTTATTTTATGTCAAGTAGAAGAATTTTTCTTAAAGACTAACAAGAACTAACATTCAGGCGACTAAGCAAACATCCAAGTGTCCACCAAACGCTAGTTTTGTTTTGTGTAAAATTAGAGAGTTTTAGTGTATTTAAATCATGGGGTTTGAAATATCGGGTTATATTCTGTTGTCGGTTGTTTTTTTTTTTTGTAACTAAGAATTTTAATTTTCCGTTCTAGTCAAAGTTATAGTCAGATGCATTTTATTTTAATTTTGGAGTTTGAGTAGCAATTAATGGTTTAACATTTACAATTAAAAAAGAAAATGAAATACAACATAAAGTATGAAAAGTAAAAAAATAAGCAAACAACATGTAAGAACATGTAAGAAATATATAATAGAAGGTAAAGAACCTAACCTAAAAAGTCTAAGGTTGGTGAACTATATGCCCTTCTGGTGTGTGATAGTTCATGTGAGTAGTCAACCCTAATATTAATTTATTGTTTCAATTTTAAATATGTTTAATTTTTATCAAGAGGTGATTTCAATTCAAATATTAATGTTTTGTGATTTTTATTTGGCTTTTAAATGGTTGGTAAATAAAATTTTGCTTTTTTTATTAATATTATCCCCACTTTATGTATACTATTGGTTGTTATAATTTTAAGAATTTGAAAGAATTTATTTCGTATTTTTCTGATTTTTATTTAATTATTAATGAATTTTCTAAGTTTCAATTCAATTAAAATATTTGTTTAATTTTGAGATGAAAATGAGCTGTTAATTAAAATATTTTTTTAGTTTATTATTTGTTATAATTTTACATATTTATTAAAGTTTATTTTATATTTTCTAATTTTTATTTATTTTTTTATGAATTTTGGATTTCTAAGTTTGCAGGAGAATTTATTAAATTTAGAGGTGTAGATGGATAGTCAGGCTTCGTTTGAGAGAGTTTTCTTACTGTTTTATAAAGCAGTTTTTTAATTTTATCTGAAAATTATTGTACTAGAAAACTGCTTTAGAAAGCAGTAAGAAAGTTGTCCTATACGACGTCATAATTAAAATATGTACTTAGTTTGTTGTTTGTTATTGTTTCATGTGTTTATGAAAATTTTTTTAAGGTATTTTTTTATTAGATTTTTAATAGATTTTCTGATGTCCATGTTTATTCATTATCATTATTATCTTTCTTTCTCTCTTTCTAATATCATTTTAAACTTGTCTTTAATCTTTATGTTTAAATTTGACTTCATTAAATTTTAGATTAGATTATATTAGTTCTATTTATGTCACTTAATTTTATTTATTCGTTTAGGTTAGTTTTAAATTTTATCTTGTGTTGAGAGTTATTTGAATTTGATGTTAATTGTCTTGCTTTCTAGCTTTAAGTGTAAAATCCAATTTATTATGTTTCTCTCTTAGATATATATGTATCTATGTGTATATTACTTGGTTTATTTCTTATTAATATTTCTATTGTTGATTTCTCTTAGAAATAATTTATGCATGTTAGATGAGCTAAGTGTCAAAATGGATAAATGATTGTGAAATAGAAACTAACCTATCAAGTGGGTATGACGCTCCCGATTAAGATCCCATAGTTTCATCGTTCTGGGTTCATCGTTGCCCTTAGCACTCAAATTTAAGTTGAGTTACATCAAATATTAGTATTAAGTTTGCATCATTTTGGAGGTGCTTATTGACATATTAAGAGATAGCATCTTCTTGCACATTATTTCAGATAACCTAAATTTGTTTAGTAAAACAATTTTTGACGTAAAAATTTGAAACTTGGAATATCTAAAATTAAGAAAGCCTATTATTGGTTGAACAAAGACTCATGGTACATGTCTACAAGATATACTGAATATGTGAAATTATAACTTGTCAATGAATAGTATTGGAATATTGAGTGGTAAAAACTAATAAATGTAAGTACATTAAATGTGTTAAATTAAAAAAAAAAAAAGAACTATAAATGAGGAGAACTTCTAGCATTAAAACTAGGTGGGTATAGTAAAGACATGTCTTTAAAATATTGTGTAGATTGCAGATTTTATGTAGATTTAAAAGTAATTTTTTAATAACCGTAACTAAACTAGCAAAGTTATGTTTGTTTTTGGCGATGAAAATAAATACATTACTAATGCACAAATAGAGCACCCTAAAATAACAAATTTGGAGTAAAACTTTGAAGAATAGAGTTGGAAATCATTATAGCAAAAATAGACATCAACTATCAAATTATTTGAAAAGAAATGAAAATTTTCATCAGAAAAATAGGTCAATTGATCTATAACTCAGACAACCTATTTGAACAAGGGTGAAGGGCTTCAATAAAAAAAATGTTACCATTGGCTCATACACATTACCACTGGCATTCTATGCCATGCTTTCATACAATAAAGAATATGCTGAAGATGATAACTCTTGGCCATCATCTGGAGAAGTTAGCTTTACCCCACCCACATGAGCTTCCACAACCGTCATATGAATCATTACCACAAAATCAATTAGAACTTAAGATGACCATGTATAATAAGATAACAAAGATGATTAATCTACCCAACTCCCAATAATAGTGTCACTCTAGAAATCATCAAAAGCCAAACTATCTAATTTCTAAAACTAAAATCCAAAGGTAAATTAAAATAAAAATAATAACAATAATATGATGGAAGCATAGACAATGATACCTGATTCAATGTTAGATTTCCAGTTTTATCGTTGCATATGGTAGTGGTAGATCCAATTGTTTCACAAGTTGATAGCCTCCGAAGCTGTAACATAGCAACTTAATAAAAGTTGAAAGTATAGATTCTAGTTTGATAAGAAGAGAAGCATATCAATGCTTTGTCTGCCATCATCTTCTTCATTGAGTAGGTAAGACTGAAATTTGAAAAATCAATTAACCATGAGAATCATGAAGAACTTGACATCATATCATCAAGAAAGGAAAACAATCAACACTTACATCAATGTAACAGCCAATGGAAGACCTTTAGGTACAACAACAACCATAATAGTCACCTATTTATAATTCACATGCTAATTAGTAACTAGATTAACAAGATCCAAGTCTTTCATATGGCTACGTTACAGCTTCGGAGGATATCAACTTGTGAAATGATAAGAAGAGAAGCATATCAATGCTTTGTTTGCCATCATCTTCTTCATTGAGTAGGCAAGACTGAAATTGGGAAAATCAATTAACCATGAGAATCTTGAAGAACTTGACATCATAGCATCAAGAAAGCAATACAATCAACACTTACATCAATGTAACAGCCAATGGAAGACCTTTAGGTACAGCAAAAACCATAATAGTCACCTATTTATAATTCACAGGCTAATTAGTAACTAGAATAACAAGATCCAAGTCTTTTATATGGCTACGTTACAGCTTCGGAGGCTATCTTGTGAAACGATAAGAAGAGAAGCATACCAATGCTTTGTTTGCCATCATCTTCTTCATTGAGTAGGCAAGATTGAAATGGGGAAAATAAATTAACCATGAGAATCATGAAGAACTTGACATCATATCATAAAGAAAGGAATATAATCAACACTTACATCAATGTAACAGCCAATGGAAGACCTTTAGGTACAACAACGACCATAATAGTCACCTATTTATAATTCACAGGCTAATTAGTAACTAGAATAACAAGATCCAAGTCTTTCATATGGATACATACCGCAATAGTCAAAATCTTAACAGCTCCATCTACAGCATCTTTCACACTTGTGCCCCTTGACAAATTGAACACTTCCATCAAAATTCTTTGTATGACCGGTGAAGAGTCTGTAAATTATATCTCAAAGTCTTTAGTTTACAAGATCTAAAATTAAACACATGTAAATTATATATTGGGTTCATGTTGTCCTTATGATTATAAGGACAACAAGAACCAACGCGGCAACAGAGAGCCCTACTATGCCAGTTAAAGCAGCAACACCATTCAAGCACACCTTTTCAGAGGAACCATAAATGAATCACATAGGAAAATCAGTATAATCATAAGCAAATCATTAATAAAATGGGCCACAAAAACCTATAATGGAGTTTGTTCACCACTGCCTTCCAATATACTGGCCATCAATAATCCCCATTCAGTATTGATCCCCACAGCAGTCACCTGCACACAGAATAATTTAGAAGAGACACATAAACAAGAAAAAATAATAACAAAAAAATGCATTAAGAATCAAGACAGATAATACAACTACCAAGGCATAATTACATCTAACTTTGCTTTATGTAACTCTGAGTGAGAGTAAGGTAGAAAAACCAAAAACAACCATGCCCATAGAAAATGAAATCAACATTCAACGCCATTACCATTATCATCGTTAGACTAATGCGCACTATTTGAGGCAAATGAATGAGTATAATGGCAACAACCCATCCATGTTCATTATAGAGAAAAGAAGATTTCAACTCCAAAAAACAAAATCTTCTCATGAAATTTTCTAAACCCAACCTACGTTACCGAACGACCATAGGGTTATCCAATTAAATAGCACTCAGATAATGCTAACAATGAGCCCTTCTAGAACTACCTGCTTCTCATTTGAAATAAATGTCCTGGTTCAAGTAAATCTGAGATACCAACCACTAATTCTTATAAATTTATTGCAAAAAAATTGCAGCTATGTATGCATTTTGAACGATTAATCGATTCTCAAACATATCATTTTTTTAATATCGACAAAGTCAATGCATTTTGAACGCATTTTATATGATATTATAAAAAAGAGTGATGTGATTGACATACAAGAATATGTTCGACATTATATATTTATAATGATATATATAATATAGATCATGTTAAAAATTCAATGATTTGATTGGGTATAAAGTGTCATTCTCATTAGAAAAATAGAGTTGCTTTTTCTATTGCTATAGATTAATAAACAAAATTTTCATTGCCACAACCGAGGATAGCTCCATTTGGTTTGGAGTTGAGAGAGGAAATAAAAATGAAATGGAAAAGGAAATATTAAAGAACATGAATTGAAAATAGCTTTCCACATTTGTTTGATGGAGGAGAAAGTGAATAACCATTTAATTCATGCTTCGGGTTTTACTTTAGCTTTTACTTGGCTTCAGCAAAAGCACATAAAAAATACATAAGTTAGAATTTCATTCATAAAATCAATTTTTTATGTATCACAATTAAATCAAAATGATCAAATTTAATTGAGATGTAAAAAATATTTCTTATCAATTTTCTCCAAAGCAAATGCAACGTATGTAAAAGAAGAAAGAAAGAAATTAGCAAAATAAATGACAGTGTTTCATCTAGCTAGGAAAAGTGTGTTACCTTAATACTAACCTTCTTCTCAGTCTAAAGTTTTTGAATGACATATCCAATATCTTAAGTCCTCATCAGCATGGGTTCATCGTGCTATACTTATTTGCTTGACTCCTAAAAAGATGTGTAAATAATTAAACAAGAAGCTCAATAAAACAAAACAAAAATGAAAAGTAGAAAAAATAAAATTAAATAATGTGTTAATGGTTTATTACTTTGGTTTATGTGCTCCATCAATCACTCTCAAACTTATCATCTTGAAATATAACTCATCTGGGTTCCTGGACATGACTTACTCTCCAAGTATCTATAAAACCAAGATATCTTCAAATCTCATTAGTACCCTTTTTGATACATATGTGGCCATTATACTATAGAATATTACTACAAAAACCCTACATGAAGAGTCTCTTCTTTATTATGGAATGACTTAGCTCTCACCACATAATCGTTGTGCTTCTCAGGAAGTCCAAACTTCTTTCTCGCTTGCTGAAGATATAATTCACACAAGGAAAAAAAACACTTCAAGCTTTTTTACATAATTTACATGAACTAATAAATAAGTAAATAAATAATCAAGTGGTTGTTGCAAGGCTTACGATTATTCCCATTTCTGATATACTCGTATCGAAGTTGCAGTCCTGAGTGAAGATATCATCACCACCACACCAAGAAATTCCACACAAAACACCTCTTCTCCGAATTGTAACAAATTATTGTTGTTTGGTAGTAGGATTTAAGCAAGATTTAACTTAAGTATCACCGAATAGTAAGAATTAATTAAGCGTTTCAATGAATTAAAAAAAACATAGAATTTCCAATCTTGAAAAAGCGTTCAAGGAGAAAAATGAGAAAACAATCTTTACCTTCTTAGTGAATTCTCATCGTGCCTTCCAATCTCGGCATGACTTTCGATTTCAACAACTTAGTTTGTTATCTCCTTCCCACCAAGAGAGGAGGAATCCGTCATAACCTCTGATCCAAAAGGAGAAGAAAGTCCTTTTACCGACTTTATCAAAACTCCTGACTTGAAGCCTGACTTCCTATCAGAGAGGAGAAGGCCAAGAAGGCCCTTTTAGGGACTCTTTCAAAACTTCTCATGCGAAGCTGAAAAAAGAAATGGTTTCAAAATTCCTCACTCGAAGCCGAAGAAAGAAATGGGAAGACGGGAGAGGAATATGAAGAGTCACAAAATCAAACAGTGCAGATTAATTTTAATTAAAAAATAATAATGAGGATCGCTTAATGGTAGAATAAAAATTCACAATTTACAGTAGTATAGATATATTCAATTTTTCCTCTTAAATGAGTAAATCAATTTTTTTTTACAACATTTTACCTTTGAGGTGGGTGCTAGTTTTAAATTGATGTAACGAGTAAACACGATAAAGGAGTAATAAAGTTATGTATGAAGGTTATCTCAAAAGGAATCCATATTTCGTGACTTGTATTGGCCTTGCTAGAGATTTTAAGGATATTCTTATTTTTATGTTTTTTAAGGATCCAAAAAGTTTTATATTCTTACATACCTATACTTCTGCCCAACTACATTATTATCTTGTGTTATAGTTTAATAGAGCTTAATATCAACACTAATGATAAAGAATTGTTCAGCACATGACCTAGAGTTGGCTACAATAGTGTTAGCTTTGAGAATCTAGAGTATATTATTTATATAGTGTGAGGTGTGAAATATTTACTGATCACAAAAATTTAAAATAAATTTTAAAATAAGGAATTAAATTTGAGGCAACAAAGATGATTAGAATTAATCAAGGATTATGATGTTGATATCCAATATAGCCCAATATGGTGGCTAATGCATTGAATAGGAAATTTAGTGGTCATGCCAATTGGATGCAAATTTACAACAATAAATTGATCAAACATTTGATAGTATTATAATTAAAAGTGATTAGCTAGAAGGATCAAATCCCTAATAACTTACATAAAATGATAGTACATCTGACTTTGTATGAAAGAGTTTGATAGGCAGATGAATCCAGTAAGGAATATCATAAGCTAATGAATCAAATTCAATTAAGATAAAGGTAAGATCTCATCCTTGATGACCAAGCATCGATCAGAAGGGACATCTTCGGATACTAAACTAGGTGGATTAGTTATCGATATGCGTGCTTATTGGTTTGAAATTTTTGGCATAATTAACATATTAGCATACATATATGCATCCTTATATCAGTTGAAATTTTGAAAGAAATAATAGTTGAAGTGGTTTAAAAAATAATCTAAATTTTAAAGGTCATAAACGAATTTTGTTATTTAAAAAATTCTAAATATTCTTTCTTATTTCAAAGAAACCACATCAACCTTTCCTAAAAACCGCCTAAATATCTACAATTAACAGTCCAGTACCCGACTTTAATCAAATTCAACGCCATGTCAAAAACACTTTCAACCTATGTTGCACCGATACACCTATTTATGAAGGCGTGTTGTATCCGATACACGGATACACCTCCGATACTCCACCGATACGTGTTGGATACGTCAAAGAAGTATCCAATTAAAATACTATTTAATTTCAAAATGACACGCGTATCTGATACGCGTGTTCGTTGAAAAACAAAAAGAAATAAAAAAAAAAAGATGCGTCGTATTTACTTCCGTGGCTGCGAGCAAAGTTCTCTCATTTATGAGATGGATTTGAGTCTCTTGATGATATGAGAATATTAGAAATTACTAATCTTTCACTTGATGAGCCTGAATTCAAAGCTATGATATTTATTGAAGATGATATAGAAGTTCAAAGACAAACCACTGAAGAAGCTAATCATATCATTCCTTCTATTGAATAGTTGAAACTTTATGTGCTAGACAATTTATATTTATGCTTTTGTTGTTGTACTAGACATTTAATGCTTACTTATATTTTAATATTATAAGCTACAAGGCTACAAATGATGTTGTTGTCATTTTTTTTTGTAATATAAAATATTATGCTTTGATTGTTTTGTTAATTTTTATGTATGAGTTATAAATTATGATGCCATGTCCGCGCAGTATCCGTATCCGTATCCTGTATTTTTAAGAATTGACGTGTCCCGTATCGTGTCGTATCTGTGTCGCCGTATTCGTATCGGTGCAACATAGTTTTCAACTCAATAGTTAAAAGCCTGTTAATAGACCTCTTCCTCATATTAATGATGAAAAATAAGCCCCGTGTGTGTGTGTGTGTATATATATATACATTTGAGTGTGCGCGCATGCGCGCATGCATTCATAGATATAAACCAAATACAATAATTGGCCTTACCTTAGTATCACACCTTTTTTTCCAAAAGAAAATAATTTCACTACATCTTTTCCAACCAATGGCACGATTCGAATGTCAAGCTTTTGAAGATGCATGAACATTCTAATATTGATGATCAAAGAGTTCATGAATCTTTTTTAAAATATCTTTTTTTGGGAATAACCTCTACATCAAAATCATTAAATAATTAGAATATGTTAAAAATTCATTAAATTAAACAAAACAGACAACCTAAATAAGAAATAATACAAAAAAAACTTAACAATAATAATAAACCTGAGATATTGAAACAATAGTAAAACTCAAAAGAATAGATAATATTTTGATAAACAAAAAAGCAATACTTATCCTATTTTATGAGCTATCTTAAATATCCTTATAACATTAGCAAGTTCTGCCTCCAATTCATTTTTCTTCAACTAAAAAGGAAAAGTTAAAGTTAAATAAAATATAAAAAGATATAAGGAGATTTTTACATAATAAGAGGTGAAATATTGGAATATCAACCAAATACAATAATTAGCAAAACCTTAATATCACACCTTTTCAAAAAGAATATTTCACTAGGCCTTTTCTAACTAAAGGTACGATTTGAATATCAAGCTTTTGAAGATGCATGAATATTCTAATATTGATGATCAAAGAGTTCAATAAGCGTTTTCAAATTCTCTTTTTTGGGGAATAACTCATGCATCAAAATCATTAAATAATTAAAATATGTTAAAATTTAATAAATTAAACAAAAGACAACCTACATAAAAAATAATACAAAAACAACTTAGCAGTAATAATAAACCTGAGAGATTGTAACATGGCATCTATAGCAAGCACAATTGTTTTAAAAATATTATTTTTAATTGCTTTCTCCATAGATTCTTGGAAATGATCACAAAAATCAAAAAATATTTTATCAATAAAATTTACAAAAATTTAAGTAAAACAAAATGAATGATAAAAAAATAATCCGAAAGAAAACAAACTGCTACTACAACATCTAAAAATGCAATGAACAATATGAAAAAATAAGAAATTTAAAAAAACATAACATTAAGAAAAATGGATGTAAATAAAGGCTATTGAAAAAACAAGTATATCCTAAAGAAGACCAAAATTTAAAATGGAAATGACCTTAAATCATCATACAAATGATTTTGAATATTCAATGAAAATAAATTTAGTTGCATTTTAATTGACCATTTCATCATCATTCACTTTATTCCAATTATCTATGAATCAACATTTTCTATTAACTCCAGCAAAGTTTTGCCTAAAGCACACTATTTTAAAACAACTTCTATCCATGTCACATTGTCAACCCCTTCGCATTCCTAATCCTCAAATATAATACTCTTCTAATGGATATATTTTCTATCTTTTATTGTACATTCTTAACTACACAAGTTTATTTTCAATAACCTTACCTTGAATAGATATCCATTATGTTAATACAATCATTTCTTAATTTATCCCACTCAAGCTTTCCATAGATGCACCTTAATATTATTAGAGCTTTATTCCAATTATCTATAAATAAGCATTTTTTATTCACTCCAACTGAGTGTTGCTTGAAGCATTAAATCTAGTCTTCGCAAATCATTTTAAACAACTTCTATCCATGTTAAGGTCAACCCTTTCACATTCATAATCCTCAAATATAATTTATATACTTATCTAATGGGTGTATATTTTATATTTTATTGTACATATACTAAGTGTACAAGTTTATGTTCAATAGCATTATATTTAATATATATCACTAATCATTTCTTAATTTATCCTTCTTAATGTTTTTCATGTACATACATTAACATTCTCATTTTTTTTCAAACTTCTATTAATTATCAATACTTTTTTACTATCCAATAATCAAATCCCTACATCTTTAAACTTTTTATCACTTGGCTACATTATATTTCATTTTCCTTCTTTAGAATCATATTTGCTATAAATAAAAATATTGAATACCTCTATTTTGCACACTATACTTGTTTCAAGATTTAAAATATTATTATTATCATCATTATCCTATAGTAAAATTCAATTTTTAACACATTCTAAAAGCATATTTATTTTTTTTAGTCTACCATCTATTTATTAAAAAACTTTAAACCTTCTCACTCCCATCACCAATCTCCCTTTTAGTCTACCATCTATTTATTAAAAAACATTAAACCTTCTCACTCCCATCACCAATCGCCCTTTTAGAGTCTATCATCTATTTATAGCCTCTTATGATTTATAAGATAATTTCTAAACATAAATAGGTATCATATCGCATATAAGTATGGTTCAATTAAAGAAGAGAGAGAGTGAGTGAGACATAGAAAGTGAGATAGAGAAAAAGACAAAGTGAGCGAGGGAGAGGGTAAGAGAGAGATAAGAGGGGTATAGGGAAAGAGGAAGCTAGAGAGTGAGAGGGAGAGAGAGATATAGAGGGAGGGAGAGAGAGAGGGAGAGAGCGAGAGATAGATAAATAGAGAGAAATTGAGAGAGGGAGGGAAAGAGCAAGAGCGAGGGAGAGGGAAAGATAAACAAAGAGAGAGGGAGGAAGGGAGAGAGAGGGAGAAAAAGAGAGAAAAAATAGAGTTAGCGGGGGAAAAAAACAAGCAAGATTTATTTAATCAAAGAAGTAAGAGAGAGAGTGAGTGAGACATAGAAAGTGAGACACAGAGAGAGAGAAAAAGACATAAAGTGAGCAAGGGAGAGGGTAAGAGAGAGATAAAAGGGATATCGGGAAAGAGGAAGCTAGAGAGTGAGAGAGAGAGAGAGAGAGAGAGAGAGAGAGGGGGATGGAGGGAGGGAGGGAGGGAGGGAGAAAGGGATAGGTAAATAGAGAGATTGAGAGAGGAAGGGAGATAGCAAGAGCGGGGGGGAGGGAAAAATAAACAAAGAGAGAGGGGGGAAGGGAGAGAAAGAGAGAAAGAATAGAGATGGTGGGAGAAGAAAAATAAGCAAGAATTAGTTAATCAAAGAAGTAAGAGAGAGAGTGAGTGAGTTAGACATACAGAGTGAGTGAGAGAGAGAGAGAGAAAGACATAAAGTGAGCGAAGAAAAGGGTAAGAGACAGATAGGAAGGATATATGAAAAGAGAAAGCTAGAGAGTGAGAGTGAGTGAGAGAGAGAGAGAGGAGGGAGGGGGAGAGAGAGAGAGAGATAAGGTGAAAGGGATAGGTAAATGGAGAGAAATTGAGAGAAGGAGAGAGCAAGAGCGAGGGAGAGGGAAAGATAAACAAAGAGAGGGGGGGTTAGGGATAGAGAGAGATAAAGAGAAAGAATAGAGTTAGGGGCTGTTTGGTTGCCTGAATTAGGAGGGTAAAGTAAAACAAATACATGTATTTACTAAATTCTCCTGTTTGGTTAATTTTGAGTGGAACAAAACAAAAACCTCAAATGTATTAGGCGTGTATTTCGACAGGCGGATCCCGCGACTTTGAAAGTCGCTCAAAATGAGCGGGTTTGAAATTCTTCGCCTCGTGCCATCCTGCGAAGAGCGAAGTCGAACAGCGAGCCGAAGTCGAATAGCAACGAAGAAAGGAAGGAGCGACAGACCGTCTCTCTCGCGCGGATGAACGAAGTCGATCGCCCACATCAGCTCAATCGCCTTCGCTTTCTACCTCTTCGTCGTCGCCCTCGAAATGGATCCCAAAACAATCCTCCGCTGCTCCGGCGATCACATCAGAATCGCCGTCACCGGCGTCATCTCCGCCGTCGCCGGAATCCTCTTCTCCTTCACCGTCATCAACCGCACAGCTCCGTCCATCTCCATCGCCGCCGTCTCAGTATCCATCGCCGTCTCCTCCTCCCCAATCATCACCCGAAGATGGAATAAACGCACGAAGGAGGAGCTGCTAAGGCTGCGAGAGAAGTACCCCAAGATCCAAGCTGTCATCCACTTTGCTTCCAGCCAAGAGCAGATTACAGACAAAAATCCGACTCTTAACGAATTGCTATGGCAGCTACAAGATTCCATTGATGATGCAAATGACGTGGTTGATGATCTGGAGTACATGGAACTTGAAAAACAGCTGACCAAAAACAAGAAGCTGAGAAGGGTGCGTTCCATCATGAAATCCATGAAGAAAAAACTCGACAAAATTGGCAACCGAGTTATCAAAAGAGATCCTAACTTGAAGCGACTGGACGAGGCTGTGCAAAAACTTGATGAAGTTTCTGCTGATGTTACTAATTTCCTTCATCTTTTAGACAGCGCGAAGCAAGTCAGCATGATTTATATTTGCATAACTTAATTTATTATATTTAATTATTTAAACATTGGTTTTTAATTGCTTTTAAAAAAAAAATAAGTTTTCATTTTGGGACATCTTTGTAACTACTTTCTAAAACAGCTTTTTAATACAAAAATTATAATTTTTATACTAAAAAATTATTATAAAAAATAATAAAAAGTAGTCCTAAACGAAGTCTTAGTAATAGTAAATTATTTTTTAAAAGTTACTTTTATCATAGTAGTTTTATAGTCATCTTTATTAAAGTTAT